GAAATAAAATTCGAGAAAAATTTGTTCGTTCTTTTCAATGTCATGACAAATCCACATTTCGATAATATGTTTCACACGTATGTGCCGAAATCCCTTGGAAATTATTTAAAGCTTCTTAAAGATTGTAATTTCGAATAGTCCCGCACTTTGGGATTAAATTTCGACTGAAAGTCGATTCGCGTATCGAATATCATCGATCTAGCAAGTGTTCGATACTTACAGAGTCTAATATGTATGCCGCACATGGTTTATTGTGGCGCATGAATTAATGGTGCTTTGAAGATAACTCTGTTATGTTATAAAACTGACAAAAAATGTTGCATATTTTCGCGGTGCAATGACTCTGCGGCGATTCGCTTAGTCAGAAGTGGGCACGATCAAATGTAGATGCCGGTTCGTGCAACAACATTGTTTTGTGTTCTTTGAAACGAGGGTGTGACAGTTGATATGCATTCCAATCGAGCACATATTTCTTTTCCTCTCGAAATGAAAATGAACGTCGAGTAACTTCTACCTTCTGCTCGTTCGGCGAACCTAAACGAATCGTATCGTCGCGAAAAAAGTAAATTTCCAACACGACTTACACGCTGTATTCAAGATTGTTTATTTTCCTTTGACTGTGTCGACTTGTTCTGTTACAATCGAGAGAGCGTGTGAGATCGAGTCCGATCGCGCGACTTGCATCCTTTTTGACAAATTTCGTGCCATATTTTGACGTTATGCGGTATTGAACAGCGTGTGAAAAGATACTAAAGCAGCGGACGCTGTTTGTAGGTTAGAAAGATACATGCGTGCTGTTGTCAATCGCGGCAACGGCAATTCGCCCAAGTAATCTTTAATGCAAACCCTATGCATTGGCTTCAAGCAACCAATATACGCGAAGAAATGCCGTTAAGCCAAATAAATCAAAGTAATTTCGTTAGTACCAGCGAGAGTGTGAATCCTGGCACTGAGATAGCGTCAACTTGTTATACTCCTCCACCTTCGTATCACAACATTAATTTACCTCTGGGTCACCCGTCAACTTTGACTAATGATTGCGGTGCACCTCCTTCCTATGAAGAAGCCATAGATCCAAATGGTAAATGACAATAACAATGAAAATGAAGTAGAAATAATGAAGTACGATAGAAAAATCATTGAATGACAGTTTGTGTGATTGGTATGTTGAAGAGTTTTTACTTTTTTAGCTCCTCCTCCATCCTACGATTCATTGTTTGGTCGTATGAGAGAAGCGCACAAAGTTTCAAAAGGAGTGTTTGACTTTTTGAAAAATATTATCGTCTTACTTTTAGGCACTAGTAAGCAAACATGTGAATTAATATCTATGTTGCTAGATTTTAATGCAAAGGATGAAATATTAATTTTGTATTTTGGTGATTCCAGTTGGATGTACTATTATCTTAGGAGTGACAATAGTAGTTCCAATATGTATGATGGTGATTGGAGGACTTTATCTTTATGATTGCCCACAAGGAGAATATATTCCTGTTTATTTATTAGTGGGCGGTGGTTTTGGTGTTTTCAAACAGTTGTTACATTTGTCAGCAAGGGTACGTCAACGTCAGGAAGAACGAGACGAAGAAAGGATACGACAATCTCCTACTCAAACGTTGATTAATTGTTTTATGCTTGGCTGGTTTATTATAGGTCAGTAGTACAAGTATATTAATCGAATGTTTGTCAGGAATGTTCATCCAGTTCTCCCATTTTTATACTCTTTGTGTTTGCCCGTAGGCTCAATGTGGGTATATAAGGAATACGAGCCAAATTATGATCCAGCTCTTGGCAAATATTGTAACAAAACGTTGTATTTATTTGCCTTCTGGCTAATCACAGCCGTTTACATATTCTTGGGGGTGATAACCGCCGGCTTTTGCAGTATTTCGGTAGCAAGCATCGCGTTTCAAAGACCACCGCCCGATCTAATGTAAATTCTATGATCTCATTTCAAAGGGAAGAAACAGAGTCGTTCAAAAATCTATTATTTTGGGAACAAAAACGACAAGTGTTGCGAAATGAAAAACTAAAATTTTTTGTGAATATACAAAAATTATGTCGTAACAGGGCACAAAAATTCGTCCACGCTTTACGTACCTGAGATGCTAAAAACAACAATCTACGAACGGATCGTTTGCACGTAAAGTACGTTCCGAGTTTGCGAAAATTGATGCTTGTAATCGTACGTGGCAATGTTTCCCGATTTTTCAAACGTACTCGATTGTGTTCCACAACGTTTCCACAATTGAGGCAACCTTTGCTATGAATTGGAACAAGCACAAGATAGCAAAGGACAGATTGATTTCTCAAAAAATTGGTATGTACGTGAAGAGACAAGAGAAAGGAATAGAAGAAGCGAAAATAGTCGATGAGATGCTTTAATCAATTCAGGGCTGTGGATATTTCGCAATAAAACGCGAATTTTTTTGATATTGTGCCAAGAAATCGCAATGCCGTAGAACGAAGAGTATTTTACTATTGAAACGTCGGTCGCCCGCATCGACGCTCAATTCGTACGAAATGTTCTTCACTTGAGTAAAATCTCAGGACGTGTCATGAAAAAGATGAGGGGAAAAACTTATTCTAACACGGGAGTGTCATCGAACACTGTGATAACGTATAAAAGAAATTTTACCGTGGTCAATGCGTTAAATCATGATACCCATGATTGTGGCAATCTAGTTAAATGGCAGTTGTTTAACAGTTCTTCTACAAGTGAGAATAGTTACTGTTCACTTGTATAAATAGCTTATTGTTGAAAGACTGCGATACTTCGCAAAAAACATGTTTTTTATTCCTTTGCCCTCTCCTCCGTCCTTTTAAAACCTTTCGACCTCCATTGAGCCTTTATGTCAATGTAGTCGAACAACCGTTTTATAAAGACTCATTTGAAGATTAAGGTGTAAACTATATATATATATATATATATATATATATATA